GTGGGTTCATGCCAAGAGAGACACAACTGCAGGGTTTAGTGAAGGTTTCCGTGAAGTTCACTGCCACTTACAAGCTGCGGTTTCTCCTATTCACAGGGAGGAGCCGCCTAGAGACCTGCCTGCTCTGGAAGACTGTGCGGAGGCCCTTCCAGTGACATAAAGCGAGGCAAGTAGAAAAGGGTCCTCTATTTACGCTCAGCGAGGTGGCCTTTCGCGCATGGTTTGCTGGGAAGTGGCCTCCGGGAAAGGAAGGCTCTGAGACCCCTTCTCACTCTTTTTTAAGTTCTACCTTATTTGAAAAATTCTGGAATAATTCTGACAGATTCAGGGAGGGGACAGATTAAGGTGGACGACACAAAGAGAAGCCCAGAGAAAGAGAAGTCTGGCGGTGAGAGGGTGGGGAGCTCTGGGCACAGGAGGGGGCCCAGGCAAACACTCTTTGATTCTGTTCTTTTGGCCCAATGGGTGTATTTTAGGGAAATGGCCGTGTGTGTGTGTGTGTGTGTGTGTGTGTGTGAACGTACGTACGTGTACATGTGCGTGCATACCTGGACATCTTTGCCTTATCTGTCTTATTTTCCCCTAAATTTTGTGATAAATGCAACAAGCCAGTGTAAAAAAAACACACAAAATGTCTTTCTCTCATTTGTTTTCTCATTTAGAAGGAAAACAAAATTACCATTTTTTATAATGAATGGTACTCCTGCTCATTCATTCATTCACTCACTCCTCCCTTCCTTCACTCAGTCAGTCAATAAATACATGTTGACGGCTGACTGAGTACCAAATACTGTTCTAGGACCTAGGGTTACAGCCATGAACAAGGCAGGGCAAAGGCTTCCGTCCCATTTCACAGACGAGGTGACTGAGGCTCATAGAAGCTACGAGCTTGGTCCAGACACATTCCTAAGGAGTGGCAGACCGAGAGCCAAATCTTCCAAAGCCACGGTCAGCTTTCCCCACTCCCTCTCACCGCTGCAGCGTCCTGTTGGTTTATGTATAAACACCTTGTGCCGCTGCAGAAAAATGAAATACTTTTTGTGCTTTGGGATTGAGAATTGTAATGTCAGTGCCAGCCAACGCTTCTGACTTCAGCGTGACTCTGTTCTTACTGAAGGGGCAGACACTCCCCGGAGACTCAGCCAGGCTCACCCCATGCCCCGGAGGCCCCCCCAGATCCCCTGAGGGGTGACTGGCAAGATAGGAGCAGCACACAGGGCCCCACTGGGATGAATCTGCTAAACTTGGAACCAACCTGGAAAGAATCTAGAATAACCAGTTTCTCTCAACTCCAATAACAAGAAGGGGCCCCTTGTCCCTAACATCTGAATTAACCAGATGAGACTGTCTCAGCAGATCCAATTTAGCCTCTCAAGCCTACTGCACTGGGAGAAGGAGGAAACCACACACACACACACACACACACACACACACACACACACCATGTCCCTTGCATCTCCCCAGCTCCTTGCCACCAGTTCAAGTGCATCAAACACCCTATTTTCCTAGAACTGCCTCCCTCTTTTCTGTCTCCTGGGCGAAGTGCATTGCCTAATATAATTGGAGCCCCGGAGGCCCCCCCCCCAGATCCCCTGAGGGGTGCCTGGCAGAGACAGAAGCAGCACACAGGGTCCCACTGGGATGAATCTGCTAAACTTGGAACCAACCTGGAAAGAATCCAGAATAACCAGTTTCTCTCAACTCCAATAACAAGAAGGGGCCCCTTGTCCCTAACATCTGAATTAACCAGATGAGATGGTCTCAGCAGATCCAATTTAGCCTCTCAAGCCTACTACACTGGAAGAAGGAGGAAACCACACACACACACACACACACACACACACACACACACGCACCCCATGTCCCGTGCATCTCCCCAGTTAAAGTGCATCAAACACCCTATTTTCCTACAACTGCCTCCCTCTTTTCTGTTTCCTGGGCGAAGTGCATGGCCTAATGTAATTAGGGAAATGGGTTGGGAAATGGCCTTCTAATATTTAAAATGGAAAATGTTTAAATTATCTTCCCCTCTTGGTTTATCCATCCTCTATGTGGAGTGTTTGTTTTCCCAGTTTTGGGGGCCTCTCAGTGGCGTGCTGGGCTGACAATTGCATCTCTGAAAAAAATAAAATAAAATAAGCCCTGCTTCCTGGCGTCTGCCAATTTCCATGGTGTAAATACGCCCACTGTGGCCCATTCAAGTTACTGATGTGACATCCCAGAACATAGAGTCAGGAAGGATGCACTTAATCGGCTCTCACTGGCTCCCGACACTGCAGGACTGAACTGTACAGTCTCAAAATGCGAAGGTACCGCTACCCTTTCCCTCTCTGATTCTTCACATCAATGGAACTTCAACAAGTACTGGCCTCCAACCAGAAATGGTTCCCAAAGGTCAGAACAGGTGCACACAAGCCAATCAGTATCACTATCAAATGACTAAGGCACCAGCTGACACAACAGAATATTGATAAGATGGAATGTGCTTTCTCGATAAATTAATTCAAGGTCTTCTGCATCTCCCTCTAGCTTGAACTCCGACCTTTGCACCTCCTTCCAACTCTCAAGCTTATATAGTACCTGGTTCTTGCTAGGAGGCGGGTGGGGGAAGATAAGGGAGGGAAAGAGGAGAGAAAAGAGAATGTGAGATCAAGTTGTTTTGGGAAGAGGATCTATAATTAATACAGTGCAAAGGGCAGAGAAGTGCCGCAGCACACGGAGCAATAGCCAGCGCGTGTCCTGCAGTTTCTGACACTCACAGGGAGGGATGCGTCCCACAGTCCTGTGCTTTGATCATAATCTTTTGCAAGTGCACTGCCCTGAAACTACTTCCCCCACACACCTCTCTGCTGCCTTCAGCGTTAACAGAAGCAGCTCAAAGGCCCCTCGTTTTACTACCTCAAAGCCCAAGAGGAGTTAATTGGGCTTCCTGCTGACAAAATACAAAATGCTGAACATGCCCAATTATGGGGAAATATTGAAATGTTGACGAGGAAAGAAAGCTATGATCATCCTGCGGTCGCCGTGGAAACGCAACTCATTTAACGGTGGGAGATAAAAATGAATGCCTTCGGAAGGCTCTTAATCTGCCTTAAGGCCTTTTTAATTAATGGGACTCAGGAATAATTTGCTTTTAAAGTTACGTGAGACTTTCCATTTTAAATACCTGAAGGTTATTTCCCAGCCCGTTTCTCTGACTGTATTAGGCCGAGCACTTCAGCCGAGGAATCAGACTCCCTTTATGTTATTGTCCTGGAGTCACATGGCCTGGCTTCTAGCCACTGTCAGAGCAGGTGTCTGACACAGGGGGCCAAGGGGTGGGGGCATAGTCATTCTTCAGTTCTTCGAAGGCTCCTGTTCCCTAAAGAACAATGTCCAATACCTCGGCAGAGCATCCAGACGCTCCCAAAGCCCATGTGTACCCTTGCGGGCAGCAGCGAGTGCTCACAAGGGGCTGTTGAGTCACTAGCATTGGGAGACAAGCTTTCATGCCTCTATGCTTTCGCACATGCTTTAATTTGACAGCATGCTAAGAGACTCAGACAATCATTCCTGCTTTTTGTCCCTAACAAACTCCTATTCTTCTGACAATACCCAGCACTCAAGAGTCCCTTCCTCTGTGAAGTGTTCCTCTTTGTCGTCTCTTTATGCTATCTCTTCCCGTGTACACAATTAGTCTCTAGTACCCAAAAAGCACACTATGTGGTACACAATAGGTGCTTAATAAGTGCTTGTTGAATGAATAAATGAGTGAATGAAAAACTAAGAATACCTTAAACCGAATTTAATAGTCCAGTCCTGCTAGAAGTCTCTATTGATATTGGCTGTAATTTAAAACATGAGGCCTTGGCCAGAGGCGTTAGGCCTGGGCAGGGGCGGAACCAGCCATCGCAGGGAGCAGGGGCGGAATCAGCGATCCTGGGCAGCTGGGGGTCCCCTGCCCAGGCCTAAGGCCTCAGTCAGAGGCATTAGGCCTGGGCAGGGGCAGAGACAGTGATAGTGGGGAGCAGGGGCAGATCCGGCGATGGTGGGGAGCTGGGGGTCCCCTGCTCGGGACTAACGCCTCAGTCAGAGGCGTTAGGCCTGGGCAGGAGCGGAGCTCGCGATGGCGGGGAGCAGGGAGGAAGCCAGCATGGCAGGGAACAGGGAGGGAGCCAGGGCGGGGAGCAGCAGGGGCAGAGCCGGGGATTGTGGAAGCTGGGGGTCCCCTGCCCAGGCCTAACACCTCGGCCACAGGCATTAGGCCTGGGCAGGGGCAGAGACAGTGATAGTGGGGAGCAGGGGCAGATCCGGCGATGGTGGGGAGCTGGGGGTCCCCTGCTCGGGACTAACGCCTCAGTCAGAGGCGTTAGGCCTGGGCAGGAGCGGAGCTCGCGATGGCGGGGAGCAGGGAGGAAGCCAGCATGGCAGGGAACAGGGAGGGAGCCAGCATGGCGGGGAGCAGGGGCAGAGCCGGGGATTGTGGAAGCTGGGGGTCCCCTGCCCAGGCCTAACACCTCGGCCACAGGCATTAGGCCTGGGCAGGGGCAGAGACAGTGATAGTGGGGAGCAGGGGCAGATCCGGCGATGGTGGGGAGCTGGGGGTCCCCTGCTCGGGACTAACGCCTCAGTCAGAGGCGTTAGGCCTGGGCAGGAGCGGAGCTCGCGATGGCGGGGAGCAGGGAGGAAGCCAGCATGGCAGGGAACAGGGAGGGAGCCAGCATGGCGGGGAGCAGGGGCAGAGCCGGGGATTGTGGAAGCTGGGGGTCCCCTGCCCAGGCCTAACACCTCGGCCACAGGCATTAGGCCTGGGCAGGGGCAGAGACAGTGATAGTGGGGAGCAGGGGCAGATCCGGCGATGGTGGGGAGCTGGGGGTCCCCTGCTCGGGACTAACGCCTCAGTCAGAGGCGTTAGGCCTGGGCAGGAGCGGAGCTCGCGATGGCGGGGAGCAGGGAGGAAGCCAGCATGGCAGGGAACAGGGAGGGAGCCAGCATGGCGGGGAGCAGGGGCAGAGCCGGGGATTGTGGAAGCTGGGGGTCCCCTGCCCAGGCCTAACACCTCGGCCACAGGCATTAGGCCTGGGCAGGGGCAGAGACAGTGATAGTGGGGAGCAGGGGCAGATCCGGCGATGGTGGGGAGCTGGGGGTCCCCTGCTCGGGACTAACGCCTCAGTCAGAGGCGTTAGGCCTGGGCAGGAGCGGAGCTCGCGATGGCGGGGAGCAGGGAGGAAGCCAGCATGGCAGGGAACAGGGAGGGAGCCAGCATGGCGGGGAGCAGGGGCAGAGCCGGGGATTGTGGAAGCTGGGGGTCCCCTGCCCAGGCCTAACACCTCGGCCACAGGCATTAGGCCTGGGCAGGGGCAGAGACAGTGATAGTGGGGAGCAGGGGCAGATCCGGCGATGGTGGGGAGCTGGGGGTCCCCTGCTCGGGACTAACGCCTCAGTCAGAGGCGTTAGGCCTGGGCAGGAGCGGAGCTCGCGATGGCGGGGAGCAGGGAGGAAGCCAGCATGGCAGGGAACAGGGAGGGAGCCAGCATGGCGGGGAGCAGGGGCAGAGCCGGGGATTGTGGAAGCTGGGGGTCCCCTGCCCAGAAAGAAAGAAAGAAAGAAAGAAAGAAAGAAAGAAAGAAAGAAAGAAAGAAAGAAAGAAAGAAAGAAAGAAAGAAAGAAAGAGAGAGAGAGAGAGAGAGAGAGAGAGAGAGAGAGAGAGAGAAAGAAAGGAAGGAAGGAAGGA